CTGCCGCTGCCTCCGCCCGCTGCCGCATCGCCCTTCAGGCCTCGCCTCCCGCACAAGCTTCTTCCGCCCCAGAAACCCGCTCCGGCGCTAGGACAGTTTGAAAATGGCGCGGAGAGGCGATCTGGGCCGGCGCGGCGGAGGCGCCGCGGTTGCCTCGGTAACGGGAGCCGCGGCCGGTCGCGGCGCGCAGAGGGGCGCGCCCGACGGTGATGGCGGCGTTGGGTCTCGGTACCCGGAAATACAAACGGCCCCGGAGCCGAGAGTTACAGCGCCCCCTGGCGGACCGCAAGACCCTTACGCCAGCGGGCCCCCGCGGCGGAGTTCTGGATCCGCTGCTGCGCGTTGACCATCTGAGGGGCGCTTGGTTAAAATGCAACTTTCCCTTACAGCTACCCGATACAATTAATTGTTCTACATGCAAATGCCCTTGAGGCTCTGTGTAGGATCTTAAATTATAGTCATCCCAGTAGACCAATTTCGTCTTTAACTCGTGGAATCAAAATTGCTTACATACATCACCCTGCCACCCCCAGCACTAAATTTCTGTGAAATGATTTTACTCAGCTACATTAACTGAGTACCTACCACAGTAAACATTATGGATAGAAATGGAAATAAACGAGTGCTAACCCACGAAATAAACCTGCTTATCCACGAAAAACTCACCATCAAAAACCTAGAATTACATTTCTCCCCTAAAAATTTCTATATTAGAGGCGAGGACGTGGAGAAAAAGGAACTCTCCTGCACTGCTGGTGGGAATGCACAACCACTATAGAAAACTGTTTGGAAGTTCCTCAAACTGCTTAACATGGAGCTTCCTACTACCCAGCAATCCCACTCCTAGGTATCAACCCAAGAGACACAAAAACACTGATTCAAAAAGTTACCTGCACCCCCATGTTTATTGCTGCTTTATTTACAATTGGAAAAACATGGAAGCAGCCCAAATGCCCAAAAGTAGATGACTGGATTAAAAAGATGTGGTACATATATACAATGGAATATTACTCAGCAACCAAAAAAAAAAAAAAAAGAAACACATGTCTTTTGCAGCAACTTCGATGGAGCTGGAAAAGATCACGCTTAGTGAGATAAGCCAGAAAGAAAAAGAAAAATACCGGATGGTTTCGCTCATAGCAGAATAATGGACCAGGTGAGAAAATAATAATAATAATGAACAGCCATATACCAGAGACATTCTGTGGGGGTGGAGTGTGGAATGGGATCAAAAACGGTGTGGGGGGTGGGGGAGAAAAGTGCACTGGACTATGATGATGGCACATGGGTGACTTGGTGATGGGAAACCCACAGGGATTACAATTGAGATGAAAAAAAATGTACAAAATAATGTAAAAATAAACTATTATATTTAAAAAATAAAAAAAATTCTGTAGTAGAGAAAAGTTCAATTCCTTTCTGTCTAATGCTCCCCTATCTAGGGCACCCTTTCTGAAAATGTACTT